GCCTTAATTTAGAGAAATTTTGATATTTAACTCTGCGTGCCTCTCAATATTTGACATTCAATTTGCAGGTCTTTTAAAATTTAGAATCCGTTTGGTAGGGATCCAGATTCTAGGAGAAACGTTTCGGATTCAGATATGAGAGAATCACTTGCTGGAACTGTTTGGCTGGCTGTCTGGTTTCAGATTCTGAATAGTGATGAATGTGGTGGAATAGATCAAAGTGCCCTTATATATGATGAGGTTTTCTTGAGTTGCTACATGAGCATTGGTATTACTATTGTATTTCTTGTTTTATTTTTTCTATGGAAAAACGGCTGAAATATGTCTATTGGTATTTCTATTGTATATTTTCTATTTTACTAGATATGTGTCCGTGTGTTACACCATATCTACTATGAAGGATTCGATCATTTTAAAAAATATATATTTAAAAACTATTAAATAATTTTGCATGAGGAACCTAAACTATTTCCAAATGTATTTAGGCTTTTTGATCGTATTCGTAATAATTCACGTGTATGCCAATTCTTTTGTTTCAGATTGAGTACGGCCCTCACATTGAGTCTCTTTTGGTCCGCACGTACGGATTTATAATGCTGACTTTTGAGTTGACAATTTTCAAGTTTTTCAGACTAACTTTGTCATTTGGTTGTACATGCTCTTAGGCTTGATTTATATTTCACACCCACTCGGGGTTGAAAGGAACTTGAATAAATTTGAATTATAATTTTTGGATTTGTTTTTTATTTTATATAGTTTTTTTAAGTTTCAGTCAATTTGTGCATTGTTCGAAAAAGACAAAAAGCTAACAAAACACTTTGTATTGGGAACCTGAAGTCTATGTAAATCGTGCGATTCACTTTTACTATTTATTTTGTGTTTACATTTCTTTGCATTTTTCACCGAGAACCGTCCACTTTTTCCTATGTTGCCATTGTTTTTTTTGCCGTATATTTTTTTTCTTCAGAAATGTCTTTTTTGTCGTATCTGTTTTTTTCTGAAACGGGGAGTTGATCTTTGTTTTTATAGATAAAAAAGAGAAAAACGAAAGAAAAGGTAAAAGGCTTGTATGGGTTTGATTCAGCCCACAACGAAGCCGGTCCAACTGCAAGGATTCAACCTAGGTAATAAAAAAGGCCAGGCCCATCCGAATTTAGACATTTTGTATCAGAAATCTTGATCTATTTCAAAAACTATTAAGGCTCTCACACATTTTCTTTGTCTCTGGCATCTTTACATCTGGAACCATGTATTTCTTCCTATTCTCTTCCTCACTCCTAGTTTCCGTTTGCCAAATGTTATATTTTGACGCATATTTTTTGTTGCCGTCTAGGGCAGGTTTTTTTTCAGAACATTTTTTTTATTTTTTGCCGTATATTTTTTCTTGTCGTATAGTTTTTTTTTGGGATGTTTTTTTCCTTTTGCCGTATATGTTTTATTTCATAAACATTTTTTTAGGTGGGGGTGGGGCGAAACTTTTTTTTTTGCCGTAGGCGGGGGTGGGGCGGACACACACGATACGCTTAGAAATTTTTAGCTGGTAATAGATTTTTGTCTATGGGAAAATGGCCGAAGTATGTATGCTGGTATTCTATTGTATTTCTTGTTTTATTTTCTACAGGAAAACAGCCAAAATATATATACTTGTATTTCTATTGGATATCTTAGTTTATTTTTCTATGGAAAAACGGCCAAGGGGGAAACGGCCAGGGAGGCGGTGGCCGTTGTTGTAATTTTCAACAAATCATGTACGGTGGGCAGCGGAAGACGGAGTGAATCGGTGCGAAACCACGCGATTACCGTTCCGTTCCGGGAACGGAAGCGAAACGTTTCCAACAACGATACTCAGCCTGTTTGTTTCGACTGAATCGGCTTATAATTCATGGCTGAAAGTATTGCTGGTTAGTTTGATGTGAGAGAAAAATATTGTTGAAGCCGTGGATTATAAGTCAGATACAAGCAAATAAGCCGAAACGAACAGGCTGACTGTGCGGGTATCCACCGGACAGACCCGCACATACTCGACCGAGCCGTTCTTCGGGCTCGTTCGCTCATTCTCATTCCTCGCCCACATAGACCTGCACATCCCGTTTCCTACTCGCTTGATCCGCTCGTCCCCTCTCCCCCCGCACCCACTCGCCGCCGCGCCGCCGCTGCGCACTTCCTCCTCGCCTTCCGGGCCTCGTGTCGGCCCTTCTCGGAGGTCGTGCAGCTCTTGCTCTCGGCCGCTTCGGGAGCTAGGTTCCTCTGCCTCTCCTCCTCCTTTTCGCCTCATATGCTCCGGGACGGACGCTGCGTGCCGTGCGGCAGGATGCTGCCGCCCCTCCCTCCTTCCCCCCTCCGCGACCTTCATGCGACCCCACGGGAGACGATGACGACATCGGCGGCTCCGATGAGGTAGGTCATGTCTTCTCTGGATCTGAGCCCTCCTCCTCTGGATCCGAGCGCTCCTCCTCCTCCTCCTCCTCCTCCTCCTCCTCCTCCGAGCTGAGGAACGCAGCGGTGGCTAGGGTTCCGGTGAGCTCTGGGTCCCTATTCGCTCCTCCCGTGTTCCAATGGGTGTTTTGAGATGTTCCAATAGATGTTTTTCGAATGTTGCAATGGGATTTTTTTCTATTGTTGCAACAGATGTTTTTGCGATGTTACAGTACTATTGCTTGAGATATTATAGTACATAATTTTCGATGTTGCAGCACATAATTTTCGATGTTGCAGTACATATTTTTTTAATGTTGCAGTAATTGTTTTTTCGATGTTGCAGTAATTGTTTTTTCGATGTTGCAGTACATGTTTTTCAATATTGCAGTACATATTTTTTCGATGTTGCAGTACATATTTTTTGTTGTTACAGTAGATATTTTTCGATGTTGCAGCGTATTTTTTTCATGTTGCAATACATATTTTTTTTTTATTTTGCAGTATTTACAACCCGATGTTGCACTACATAGTATTTCTATATGTCTTTCAATGTTGCAGTTTTAGTGTTACATGTTTTTTTTAGGACAGAGGCATGGTGGGGTAACAGGTTACGTTTGGGAACGGGGGACAGGAGCGTGTTGGGGAGCGAACGAGGGACGGGACACTCGGAGGACCCGAGGTGCGTTCCAACGCGCCCCTGAAGCCGGGCGTTTGGGGGCTAGGTAGGTCGAAACGTTTCCAATCCGAATCTCTGCGCTGGAAACCGTGTGGCACCGTTTCTGGTGATTCCTCTTAGAAACGGAAACGATTCAGGCTTCCAAACGCACCCTTAACCCTGAGCTCTCAAATTCTTTTGATATTTGGCATCACGAAGGATTTGTCTCGTTTTATAATTCCAGCCAGCCTAATTATCTGTTGAGGATATATATGGCCATGCAGCCCGAGCCCGTCGGCTTAGCCCAAAGCCTGTTTTTTTGGCCCGGCCTAGCACGGCGATGAGCGGGCCCGGGCTAGCACGGCCCGGAGGAGCAGGCCATGCCTGGGCCTTACCCCAGGCACGTGGGCCGGCACAACACGGCCCGCTAAAAGCTTTAGACCCGATAGAGGCCCGCTAGTCATAACATATATAGCTGCTCTAATTTCAAACCCTAACTCCAACTCCCTATCAGCCGCCGCAGCCACCGTTGCCTTCCCCTTCTGACTCGAGCAGTCACGCACCTCGGGTCCTCACGTGTCGCGCTGCCGCCTCCCGCATCCCTTCCCTTCTCTCGTGGGTCTGCTCTCCCATCTCCTCGACTTGCGCAGCCGTGACCGTGAGGAAGCCGACGCGGCCGCCCGGGGCACCACCTCCACCTTCACTCCACTCCGCCTCCACAATCCCTCCATCCAGCCTCCCCCAGCCCCGGCCACGCCGCCACCTCCACCTCCACTCCACTCCACTCCACCTCCCCCATCCCCATGCCGCCGCCTCCAGAGCTCCACCTCCACCACGCGACGGCGTCGAGTGCGACGGTCGCCGCCGCCTCCACGGCCCCCCGCGCGTCTGGCTGTGGCCGCCTCCTCCGCGCCCCCACATGGCTTCGAGCGGAGCGGCCTCCATCCCCTCCGTGGCGCCAACCCCGCTTCTCCTCAGCTCCTCCCTGTCCCTCGACCACGCTGAAGTCCAGCGCGACAGCAGTGCCGGCGAAGAGCACGGCAACGACCGCCTCCTCCACGACCCCCGCGTGTCTGGCCACCTCCTCCGCGTCCCCTTGCAGCGGCTTCGAGCGGAGCGGCCTCGATCTGGCCTTCTACGCCCTCGATCCGGCCGCTACTTCATCGGACTCGCCTCCTCCGCCAGCTACTTCGCCGGATCCAACATCAAGCGACCTGAGGGGAGCTCGTCGGCGGCCGCCGCCACCTCCACTCCTCGCCTCCCCCTCCTCTCTGTCGCATTTGGTGGGCCTCGGGCCGGCCCGACCTGCTAAAAAGACCGGGCTCATCGGGCCAACCCAGCACGGAAATTGGCCCAACAGGCCATGCCTGAGCTGTCGGCCAGGCACGATGGACTGGTACGGCACGGCCCGGTGACCCGATGGGCCCTTCCGTGCCGTGCCCTATCGGGCCGTACCTAGCATGGGCCCGTGCCGTGCCGGAGCAGGCCGGCTCGTTGGCCATGGTTGAGGACACCGGAAAAGACCAACTACCCCTCCTCCTAATTAATCTCATTGAACTGGGTGGAATTCGTCTGCCTGTGTTCGCGACTCGCATGAGTCGGACGTGGGGCGCAAGTCGCGACCTGGCAGCGCCGCCGCCCGAGCCTCCTCCCTCGACCGCCGACGCCTGCCGCCGGCCGGGTCCCGCCGTCCTTAATTTACTGCTTCGCCAGTGAGCCCGACGCGCGCCGGGCTCGGGCCTCGGGGTTCCCAGCCGCCTCTCGTCGTGCCCCCAGCTCGGCAACTCCCCATCGGCTGTCTGCCTTTCTCTACCTCGATCTAGGGTTTGGGCACCCTCCGCTTGCTTACGGCGCCGACCCCTCACCCTGCGCCTCCATCCCACAAAGCGGAATCTAGGGCCCGCGGCGTCGTCTCTCTTCGGGCGCCATGGCGGCGACGGGGCACGACGAGGATGACATCGACCACTACGAGGTGCTCTGCCTCCCGTCGGGGGAGGAAGGCGCGGCGCTGACCACCGAGCAGATCGAGAAGGCGTACCGGACGCAGTCGCGGCTGCGCCACCCTGACAAACGCCTCGACAACCCCAACGCCACCGCCGACTTCCAACTCCTCTCGAGCTCCTACAAGCTCCTCCGTGACGAGTCCCTCCGCCGCCAGTTCGACGCGCGCCTCCGCGGACGCCGCGAGGCTGCCGCCCGCGCCGCTGCCGCGGGCACCAAGCGCCGGAAGGCCGTCTCCGACCTCGAGGAGCGCGAGCGCGCCGCCGCCGCGGGCCATCCCGCCGACCCCGACGAGCTCGCCAAGCGCGAGGCCAAGCGGATGGCCGCCGACATTGAGCGCGAGCTCGCAGCGTTCCGCGCCGCCAAGCAGGCTTCTGCATCAGGTGCCCCATCGACTTCGGTAAGTGTCTCGAACGATTTCTCCTTCGTATTTTTCGTGCTCTGGAAAACTGTTCAGTTAGTTTGTTGAATGAATTGGTCAGGATGCATAGCGTCTTGCCATGCTATTATTTTTGCATTTAGTTAGATTAGATTAGAAATTACTAGTTCGGATCCTGGGTATCAGGAAATTTCCTTAATTGTGTTTCATATATACATATTGCTTCACGTGAAGCACCACATTTCTTCAAGACTATTGGTGAGTAGTGTGATTAGATTAGAGGTGAAATTGGTTGTAGTTGTACTTGTACCTATCTGGTCCATGCTAAGATGTGCAAGAGGCTGGGAATTGCATAGAATGCAGTTGCCATGCTATTGTTTTTCCATTTCATTGGATTAGAAATTAATATGTTCTGGATCCTGGGTGTCGGGAAAATTCCTGAATTGTGACTCATTTACATTCTGGTTCACCTGAAGCATCGCATTTCTTCAAGGCTATTGGTGAGTAGTTTGATCAGAGGGGAAATTGGTTGTAGCTGTACCTATCTAGTCCGTGCTAAGGCTAAGCAAGAGGTTGTCCAACAGAGTCATTGATATTTATTGGTTAACAATTTCCACAATTTGGTTATGTGTCCAGGCGCATGGAGATAAGAAGGGTGGAACCCCACAGGACGGAGTGAAAACGGACAAGGGCAAGATCTTGAAGGTTTCATGGGATGGGAGTGCTGATTCGTACAATGCGGCAAAGTTGGAGGTTCTCTTCCAGAAATTTGGCAAAGTTGAAGACATTGTTATCAAGACAAGGAAATCAAGGAGTAAGGGCTCAGCAATTGTAGTAATGGGCTCCAAAGAAGCTGCAGTAATTCCTGTTTCTCTACCCTTTATCATTTGAGTGCATTCCATATTTGACTAAGAATAGTTTGACTTATGTCAGTTACCAGAGCTATGTCTTTTTGTGTTAGTGTTACTTTGATCTGAATCTTACATGGTTGGTAGGGGCAAATATGCATCTCATACTATCCCAGGAAAGTGACATGCAAAAACTCATAATAAGATAGGATTGTTGGAAAATATTCCCAGTTTAATGCACAAGGCTACATAACTATGTATTACTTGTAATCTTGCATTAGTTAATAATTATGCATCTTTATGCTGATAGCATGGAGAATTCAATGACAAGTTTGGAGTGGTTATCCAGAGAGCAAACCAAATTCTAAAAAGTTACCAGGCAACTAGGTTCTTCTTGTTGTACTACATTATTTCTTTCCATGGTTGTGCATATGCTCTTGTTTTTATTTATCTGATCATAGTAGGGTCCTCCCCTCTGTTAAATATTTGGGATAATTACTGAATGACATTTCCTGTCTTTGAATTATATTACTTGCATTGTGCAATGACCAATACTTGTTTCTCTTTTTACAGTTATTAGTAATACAGAACCATTTCTCTCTGTTTCCATTAAATGTTGCTCCTGTTCAAGAATCGGGTGGATTATCAGCGAGGTCAACACAAACACATGAATCAAGGACAAACAATATTGATGGAACTGGATTTAATGATTTGGAAGCGTCGGTGTTCCGAAAACTTCAAGAGGTAATTAGCTATGACTTGTGATTGGTAGTGTGCCTCCATTTGTGGACAATAAAGGATCCATTTTAGAATTCAGTAGCTTGGTATTTCCTTTATATGATAGACAATAACGTAAAATGTTTCAAATACATGGAACTAATAGATGCTTTTCCATTTTGCAGGCCCAGAAAAGGAAACAATGTGGTTAATTGCTTTTTTCTGATGCATGATTCGGTACTATGTATATGACATGTCACACAGCAGAAAACATCTGAGGATCAAGATGGTTCGCGAGTTACAGAAATCTGAACTACACATTCGTTTAGTTCGAGTCTTGTCGCAGATAATGTTCTCTGAATCATAGCAATGGCGCAACGGCAGATCATTTTTTCGGTGGCTGTACAAACTGTACCATGTATGTATGAATAGTTTGTAACCACAAATTCATGCATGTCCTGCCAAGACATGGTGCAACACATCTTTTGCTGAAAATTGGTCCCCTCACAGTGCTCCTAGGATTTTTTTGTGATGCCTCTGTTGACTCAAAATTCTGCTGCAAGCAACCAAACTAGAATTTGGAGTTTTCATTCTCTCAACACCTAGGATTTTTTGTGATGCCTTTGTTAACTCTAAAAATTCTGCTGCAAGTAACCAAACTGGAATTTGGAGTTTTCATTCTTTCAACCTTTTAGAAGTATTTCCGATGCTTCTTTTTTCTAGGTAGCAATTGCTCAGGTCTTGGAACCCTTTGATAAGAGGCTGAAGTTCACATCCTCCTTTCTGTGCAAAGTTGGCTTCCTTGATCTCCAGGATGCAACTCTGTTAACACCGTGTACTACTGTACTATTGCGTTCTATCATGTTACAATATCTGTTAACTGACAACAAGGTACTGGCCTTCGCCGTGCTTGCTGTTATGCTGTATCACCGTGGACTCTGTGTTCTATCATGCTGAACTCATTGCGTTCTATCATGTTACAGTGTAGCTGTAGGACATATCTCACGCCAGCAAGCCAAATCTTTGCCTGCGTAGACCCAGAAGCACTCAGGTAAGGAAACCAAATACACACACCCGAGGCACTCAGGCAAGGAAACCAAATAAACACCGCGAGGCACTCAGGCAAAGAAACCAAATACACAGCTTTGCTCGGAATCCTCGCTCGTCAAGGCAGCACAACACAACGAGAAAACGTAAGGCAGCACAATACAACGAGGAAACCCAACGCCCCTGAAGTGTAGGACATCAAGCAAGAAGCTAGAGGGTCAAGTGAGGTGCAGCTGAATCAGTCTTTTCTTTTTGTCAGACACTTGCTTAATCTTCAACTTGTAATATCTGTTAGAAGCGAATGTAAATGAACAAGACGTGGAAGAACAGTTGCTTTCATTGATCTCGAAAATATATTTATATAAGTGGAGGGGTGTCACGAAGGGACACGACTGTTCCCAAAAGACATGTCCTTTGAAACTAAAATTAACTGTCTAATCATATCCACTAATCCTGTGCTTGATGGATGAGATCACTCGTGAAGAGACGCATGTTTGTCTGTAGACGTCCGTTCACGTATAGGTGTCATTTCACAACGCTCCCCCTTGATCGAATATTTGAATCTTCCTTGAAATCAATGCAGCTATAAGCTGAAATTCCTCGAAAAACCCTATGGGAAAAATCTGAAGAATATATGATGTGCCACAAAAACTCCTTTAAACGTTATTGAAAATAAGGAGAAAATAACATATTTATTTGTGATTTAAATAAACCACTATGTCATTGGTATTCTATTAAAAACCCCAATGGAGAAAAATATTGGAGATACGACATAAAGATAACTCCCCCAAAAACCTTTCGGGAAAAATATGAGGAGCAATATAAAGTGATATGCTGCTAAAACTCCTGTAAAAATCCAGTGAAAAAATTAGGAGAAAGTGTGACGACATATTATTGGTATTGCCTCTTGGATAACTCACATGAAAAACCTTTTCAGGGAAAAACCATTAATGAGTTATAAGGGCAATATGTGTCTTTGATATTTCCCACAAAGACCCTGATGGGAAAAATAGAAAATATGACACATGCTTATGTTAATATTACCTCATTAAAAACTTTAATAAGAAACCTTATGAGTAAAACTTATGAAAGAAAAGAGTATAATATAATACTGGTACAGGTCAGCATCTAGGAGATGTCCCCCTCCTGTTTCTTGCAAATTTCAAAGGCGTCGCATACCAATCTTATGTAGAGATTTTTGAAACATAGAAGTTGGTAAGAACTTAGTAAATAGTTCAGCGAAATTATTGCATACGGTGATTTGCAAGATGTTTATTTTCCCGCTTTCTTGTAACTTATGGGGATAAAACAGCCTAGGGGCAATGTCCTTAACGACATTACTCTTTATGTAACCTGTTTGCATCTATGTAACATAAGCGAAATTATCTTCATAGATAATTGTAGGTAATTTAATCGAACCAATACCACATGCCTGTTGTATGTGGTTAATCATTATGTGAAGTCATACATAGTCATGTGATGCCTTGTATAGAGCAATAATTTCAGAATGATTAGTAGAGGTCGTCGTCAGAGTCTGTTTAGAAGACTTTATGAAATAGCTGTACCTCCATGTAAGAATACAAATCCAGCTTGGGATGGGGACCAGATAAGTAACCAGCATCCATGTATCCAATCATATTGGGATTATGATTTCTCTTAAATAAATAAACCAAGATCGTTTGTGCCACTAAGATATATGAGGATATGCTTCACTCCCGTCTAATGACGGTGAGTTGGATTTGCACTATGTCTAACTAGTATGTTCACTGCAAATGCGATATCAGGCTTGATGCAATTTGCAAGATACATAAGTACTCTAATGACACTAAGATATGGAACCTTGGTCCCAATATCTTTTCTCCAATATCTCGTGGTCTAAATAGATCTTTCTCTATTTCTAAAGAACAAACAACCATCGAGGTTTTGTTATGATATGATTTGTCTATATTGAATTTCTCCAATATTTTCTGAATATAGGCTAATTGATGCACTAAAATCCCTAAAGGACGGTGCTCATGTTGTAAGCCTAGGCAATATTTGATCTTACCTAAATGCTCCATCTCGAATCCACGTGATGAAAATTGTATCTCAAATAATTGCATAATTATTTCTGTATCACGATGATATCAAAATAACCAATATATACAATCATGCTTCATTATATACAATGTATGTTGCGATTTATATTTGGATTCAGAATATGAAGTTCATTGGGACTTATACGTCCGAATCTATCAAATTCATTTGATATGTCAATTATTGAATTTGGAAAACTTCATTTTCACACATACCATGGGGTATAGTATATGCTGGGTCTCTGCGTGAAACCATATGCTACAAGCTCTCATTGTTCACCACCTTGCTTCTGAAAAGAAACTCTATGAAGGAAGATATTACTGTGGTAATACTTCTCATCATTGAACAAGAGCAATCTCCTTAATTGACACCTTTTAGTTTGATCAAATTTAAGTGTAAAGACACTTTGCCTAGGACTTTTTGTCTGGGTCTAATAAGGTAAAAAAACAATCTTTTAGGAGTATATGCCGCGACAATTTGTAGTCTTTAAATGATTGATTCGGTTCTTAAAATCAATATAGCATGTGAAAATGTTAACCCTTTTGGACTCTGAGTCATTTCCCATATGGAGTCAGGGTGTTTCAATATCCCAGTATCAGAATTTGGGTGCACCGTTGATCCGGATGGATTTTGATCCGAGTTTTGGATGCTCATCCATTTTGGGTGTCTACCAACTTGAGGTTGGCTTGGATTTACCGATTTGGAGGATATTGTCCTCGGTATCCTCGGATGCTTATTTAGAGCATTATACTTAGGAGCGGCCGTACTTATCCTCCTCTTCTTTAGGAGTGGGAGTTGAATGGTTTTAATTGGTACATTCATTCTTTTGGGCGCATTATAAGTAGGATAAGAGGATTTTGTGACACCCTTATTATCAGTAAATATTTCTGACAGATTCTTTGTAATATGATGCAAATAGAAGATATTCTAAATGATTAGGTTTAGAATTTTTGGTACGTGGATGTGAGGATTGCTCTTTTGATTCCTGGCATTCTTAATGTGGTATAAATCTTCCCCTAATGCCTGGAATTATCCTCAAATATGATCAACATACGGGTAATTTATAAATCCACTGCAGAGTTACCTCTTTGGATCCCTAATGCCCATTGGTATGTTGGGGTGGTGATATGGGTATGTGAAAACGTACTTGATGCGCAAATGGGAAATGTTTGGCTATGGCCAAAGTTTCACGTACATACTGCAACGGAGGGAGTTGTATAAGTGCAGCTTGATGAATTTGAATTAACGATGCGGTGTGTAAGGCTGCATGAAAACAACTAAGTTCTGGTAAATTACAAATCTATTTTAATATGTCATGCAATTTGATTCTCAATAAGAGACTTAATAAAACTATTATTGGTATGGACATAAGGTACTTGATATATAGTACCCAAAAACCAAACTGTTCCATATAAAATGGATTTGATCCTGCATCCAGGATAATTTGATCTAAATTGAAGATTTTGAGCAATGAGTTTGGTATAGTGATGGTTCTCATGACTAAGAGACACACCTGGGACTATATTATGGATGTATAAATGTGCATTACATAGTATCTTTATGGTCCATAAAATGATAAATAGAGTCACATATATGTTCTTGAATTTCTTTAAAAAATGTAGTGGCTCATATTGATGCTATGACCAATAGAATTGACAATAATTATCAAGTTATCTCTATAGTTGAATAACTAAGGCAAATGTGCCAAGTCTTGTTGACATTAAGAGAGAGAATTATTTGTACGCAACATTGGATACATGTTATGTATATGTAGTCAAATCCAACTGATGATGTTTTGTTTAAGTATTGCCATATCCGTTGTTAATAGAAAAATACTCCTCTTAGTTGTCATCTTGGGGTTTCCATATGAAACCACATTGACAGATATCTCTATAATTTTAATTGGGTACATTATGGAATCAGAATACAAGAATAAATTTATGATTATTATTTAAGTACCAATAAGGAGTATGATAGTAGGACGACCAAAGCCCACTATCATGACATCGCGTCAAGCGATTAACAAAATATTTCCTTATCTCTATATAAGAGTTTAGGAATATTTTGCTTCCCTATGTATAGAGTTTGTGAATAGTGGCGGAGCCAGGATTCCAAACTTGGGTATTCCTACTTCCACGTCAATAAAAAAATAAGTTGTTTTTAACTGCAATGAGTGAAAATACTACAAAATATGAGCCAATTTGAGAGGCTGTTTTTTACTGTTTTTGGCTTCAATGAGTGAAAATATTACAAAATATGGCATTATATATATACATATACAAGTATATACACATATATACATAGAAGTGTGCTAAAATAGTTGGGTATTCCTGGGAATACGGGGAATACCCTCTGTATCCGCCCATGTTTGTGATGCAACTATCCACTAAGCAAAATTCCTCTTTGCATTTGGATTGAATCCCGTATAGGTCTATATATAGCATGAAGAATATAATGATATTCTTTGCAAATATATAGATTACATACAAGTTAATTAATAGAATATCAAATATGATGGCACATTATTATGATATTCAATTAAAATTGATGATAATATTTTATATTACAACACCAAAAGGGGACGTAGATACTAGGTACCTTTGTAAATGGAAGATAAATTTGGTCTCAAAAATAGATCAAGCGAAGTAAATTCGATGATCGTGCTCTCCATGCTCATAAGACCCACTTATTAATTAAGTGTTTGGGTGCTACTTGATTTTTTATGAAACTTGTTGTGAACAACTGGCCTTCCTGGTGGTGTTAGGTTGAAGATAGAAGCGTGCTTCATATCTTTATTGTTGAGCCGGATATTTATGTCCAATGAATTTGTAATACCGATCAATTAAATATTTCAAAGCATGACATTTCTAAGTTGTGTGTCTGTAACATACATAATTAGGACAAAATATGGTTATGTCATATTTGAGAAATGCCTTGACCCTAAAGAATGCACGGGGCGGCTACTTCTTTTTGCATTAAATATTACCATTAAAGTTCTATGGATGTCATTATTACATGGCATCGAACTTGTTATGATTCTAAAAATTCAATGTACTTCAGATGATAGAGCATCACTATAATGCTAATGATGATTCCTCGATAAGAGTTTATCATACACTTAGAGCTGAAGTAATGTAGGAATTAATCTAGAATACATTTGGTAAGTTGTGGCCAATCAGAGATGGCATTGGGCATAATGACTACCTTGTGTTGTTCATATCGCTCATTGAGAGCTAGCCATATAGTGCTTCGATTTGCATCCATTGAGATACACATATGTGTGATCTGGATGTGTATAGTGCTTTATTTAAATAAAACTCCATACTTAATTGTTCAGTAAGCGGTGATGCTCTCTAACGAGGAGCACCAAGTATATTTTGCTATAAATCCATAGAACAATAAAGTTTAACTTTACGTCCATTGATCATGTTGGATAATGGTGATCATCAAGAGTGAGAGATCAAACTCTTTCGTGTCCATTATTCCAACTAGGTGCAAACAATAGATCTTCTGAATTTACTTTTAAGGGTAACTTAAAACTGCTATGGTAGTGTTGTAATGTGATGCAAAATAAAGACAAGATAATCTTGTATTAATGTTAGTGTAAAAATCTCATATGCATAATAACATAATGGAGGTAGTCACAGTAAAGGTGTAGACCTTAAAATGGGCATAATCTGTGTTAACAGTAGATGCCAAGTCATTAATGCAAATTGTATGAACACGTCTTAAGGTAGTCATCAAAGATTGATGTAGACCTTAGTTAATTCGCAAACGAATTGGATACTCACGTTGAGGATACTCACTAAGTTGTGGACCTAGTGTAGATCCTACAGTAGCAACTATAGTGCAACCTTGTGTATGGTCAACATACAATATGGAACATTTGTATTGTACAAATAATGAGATAATACACTTCATCGATTTTGCATTAAAAATGTAAGCACTATGAGCCTTAAATAAAGCATGAATGGGCTTAACATGAAATGAAAATTGTAAATAACAAAGTAGTTGCAATGCAAATATTGTGATAATAATATTACATGTTTATTGGGTTTACCAATTTAGATAAACATTTTGAACAATGTAATAATAACACATGTTTATTGGGTTTGTCAATTTGAACAAACACTTTGAACATGTAATGCTAATAGTACATGTTTATTTGAAATGACATAGGGCACTCTTTGAACAGTACCAAACAATAATTTTATTTGCTTGTAAATTTAAAAACTTACGTTGAGCCGAGGGCTTAGAAGCAAACAAAACTTATCACTTATGCAATTTTTTGAATACTTAAGGCTCCAGAAAATATATTTGCACGAGGCAAATAAAGCATAGTGAAATATTGTACAATGGTGTCGAGAATAGGCTGTGTGATTAATGTTGTAACCTTTGGCTATAACACAAAGGCACAAAACATAATTATCTAGAAGGATAATTATTTAATTTACAGAAAATGTAAGGTTATTTCTGCAAAATTTACACAGCCTTATCCATCCAGTCGACCAGTCCTTCTCACGGACGGTTTCTCCTCGGGAGAAAATCGTCGTTAGGCCGAGAGGCCGTGAGGATGCCGCCGATGGCGGCTTCTGGGAAGGCCGGCCGCAGGGCCGCCGACTATGGGGGCGCAGAGGCTGCCGGCTGCGAGCCTCAGGGAGCAGGAGTCTCAGGCCGCTCGGCGTGGAGCAGTAGGGGGCCGTCTCTGGGCCGCTGCGGGGCCACCGGCCGCGGCGCGAGGCCACTAGCGCGCGGCCACGGTGCGGAGGCCGCGAGGGGCCACGGCGAGGAAGCCACTGCCGCAGGCCAGGCGAAGGCCGACTCGATGTCTACTCCAATTGCGGCCGCTCGGAGCACCGGCCTCTGCGTTGCTGACCGCATGTGCGTCTGCATTGTGCAATCTACACGAGCAGCGCGCAGTGGCAGCCATGGTGCGAGGCGTCGCTGGTCAGGGGCGATGGTTGGCATCACCAACCTTGTTGATGATGGAGAGGAAGAAGCCGGAGAACGACATCTTCCACTTCATCAGAGATAAGAACATCATTGATTAATGAAAATATACGATGTCATACCGTTCAGTAGATGTGCATTCATGAAGGCCGGTGATCTCCTGTCCTCTTTCTCGTTTTGATGATGCTTCATCTCTCTTCATCATGGGGAAGAACAGGATGAAAACCATTCTTGTTGGTACGGCAAGATCGCAGTACGTCGTCTTCCACGGCAGCAAGGGAAGCGTTGCTGCTCTTCTTGGAAGACTTGGATCAGCGTAGGGGCTGGCCGCTGGTGGCCATCAGTTCTGCATCAGCGTTGCTGCTGTTCTTGTTCTCGGCGAACTCTGAGGGAACGGTGATGGTCGAGAGGCATGCGTGCCTCTGTTTTTCCTCTTGTTCGCATAGCAAAGTGCTGATAACGTCTTCGAAGTGAATGCAAATAAACAAGACGTGGAAGAACAGTTGCTTTTATGGATCTCGGAAATATATTTATACAAGTGAAATGATATCACGAAGAAACACGACTGTTCCCAAAAGACATGTCCTTTGAAACTAAAATTAACTGTCTAATCCTATCCACCAATCCTGTGTTCGATGGATAAGATCACTCGTGAAGAGACACATATTCGTCTGTAGATGTCCGTTTCACAACAATATCAAGCATACGCTACGAAATTTTGATTGGGATAACGTGGTCCCTATCTATATAACCTGTTGTGATGCAGTTATGTTTATTTTTTTGAAAAAAAAAACGCACGAAATGGTTCGTTCATCTTAGGTGCTTGGCGCCTCTACACTCGGTCAGATCTGCGATGTCTCGTACGTAGTTGTTATTTGGATGTATATATACTGCACATGAATACGGCACGGCAGCTGCTGCAGACGCGTTTGCCATTTGAAGTGCGGCCCTGTCATTTGAGCTTATCTGTTACAATCAGCTTTGCTCAGTTTTTTTTATAGTAATTAGGTGGTGTTTAGTTGAGTGAATTTTAGATTTTGGATTAATGTAGCACTTTCGTTTTTATTTAGTAATTAATATTTAATTATGGTCTAATTAGGTTCAAAACATTCGTCTCGCGATTTTAATCAAACTGTGTAATTAGTTTTTTTTCATCTATATTTAATTCTCCTTACTTAGCCCAACGAATCATGCGCGAATCTGTCGGACCTGTTCGGCAGGACTTCCTCCCGGCGACACGTTCCTTCCCTCCTCTCCCTTCCCTGATTCGATAAACCGCGAGAGCAAAAACCCGGCGCAGAAAAATATCCCCATCTCGCTTCCCTCCGCCCCGCCCCACGCGCCCCACCATGGCCACGCCGCTGCTCCTCCCCTCCCGCGCAGCTCATGCCGCCTCCGCCACCACCTGCGCTTCCCAGCACCTCACTGCTGCCACCTCCAAGGAGCCTCCGCCCCGCGCGCGGCCCAAGCACGGCGAGGGAGGGGCTCCCCGCCCCATTCCCAGCTTCGGCTCCGGCTCCCGCTCCCGTCCCAAGTCCCTCGTCCTCTCCCACGTCGCGGCGGGCCGCATGGACGAGGCCGCGGACGCCTTCGCGGGCGTCAGGAGCCCCGGCGCGTTCCTCCACAACATCATGATCCGCGGGTTCGCGGACGCGGGCCTCCCGCTCGACGCGGTCGCGGCGTACCGCGCCATGCTCGCCGCCGGCGCTCGCCCGGACCGCTTCACCTTCCCCGTTGTCGTTAAGTGCTGCGCGCGCGCCGGCGCGCTGGGCGAGGGCCGCGCCGCGCACGCGGCGGTGATCAAGCTCGGCCTCGGCGCCGACGTGTACACCGCCAACTCGCTCGTCGCGCTGTACGCCAAGCTCGGCCTGGTCGGGGACGCCGAGCGGGTGTTCGACGGAATGCCGGCGCGGGACATCGTCTCGTGGAACACGATGGTGGACGGGTACGTGTCCAACGGGATGGGGGCGCTGGCGCTGGCGTGCTTCCGGGAGATGAACGACGCGCTGCGGGTGGGGCATGACAGCGTCGGGGTAATCGCCGCCCTCGCCGCCTGCTGCCTGGAGTCGGTGCTGGCGCAGGGGCGGGAGATACACAGCTATGCCATCAGACACGGGCTCGAGCAGGATGTCAAGGTGGGAACTTCTCTTGTTGACATGTACTGCAAATGTGGCAATGTTTTCTTTGCTGAGAATGTCTTTGCAAAGATGCCGTTGAGGACCGTGGTGACATGGAATTGTATGATAGGTGGCTATGCGCTGAATGAGCAGCCTGTGGATGCGTTCGATTGCTTCGTGCAAATGAGAGCGGAGGGGTTCCAGGTGGAAGTGGTCACTGCTATCAATTTGCTTGCCGCCTGTGCTCAAACTGAAAGCTCACTGTACGGAAGGAGTGTTCATGCTTATGTGGTTCGGAGACATTTTCTTCCTCACGTGGTGCTTGAGACTGCTCTTCTGGAGATGTATGGCAAGGTTGGCAAAGTGGAATCATCTGAAAAGATATTTGGTCAGATTACAGATAAAACTCTGGTATCATGGAATAATATGATTGCTGCTTACATGTACATGGAAATGTACCAGGAAGCCATCGCATTGTTCCTGGAGCTACTGAATCAACCTCTTTATCCTGATTATTTCACCATGACAACAGTAGTACCAGCATTCGTCTTGCTACGTTCAATAAGACAATGCAGGCAAATGCACAGCTACATTGTCAAGTTAGGCTATAGAGACATCACTCTCATTATGAATGCCGTTATGCATATGTATGCAAGGTGTGGCGATATTGTGGCCTCAAGGGAAATCTTTGGCAAAATGCCAGGCAAGGATGTGATCTCCTGGAATACAATCATTATAGGATATGCAATTCACGGACAGGGAAAGACTGCATTGGAAATGTTCGATGAGATGAAGTGCAGTGGTATGGAACCAAATGAGAGTACCTTTGTTTCTGTGTTGACTGCTTGCAGTGTTTCAGGCCTGGAGGCTGAGGGCTGGAAGGAGTTCAATTCAATGCAACAGGAGTATGGTATGATTCCACAGATTGAGCACTACGGATGCATGACTGACCTTCTGGGCCGGGCAGGTGACCTCAGGGAGGTGCTGCGGTTTATCGAAAACATGCCAATTGCTCCAACATCCAGGATTTGGGGTTCCTTGCTGACAGCGAGCAGAAATAAGAATGATATTGATATAGCAGAATATGCAGCAGAGAGGATATTCCAACTGGAACACAACAACACAGGCTGTTATGTTGTTCTGTCTTCCATGTATGCTGATGCTGGGAGATGGGAGGATGTGGAGAGGATAAGATCTCTGATGAAGGAGAAGGGGAGCCGAAGGACAGAGGCAAGAAGTCTTGTCGAGCTTAATGATAAAGAGTGCAGTTTTGTCAATGGGGACATGTCTCACCCTCAGAGTGAGAAAATTCATGAATTGTCTGATATCCTATCAAGAAATATTGGAGAAGATTTAGATAGCCCAAGTAATCTCCGCGATTCAGATCCTTTTGCATCAGGGAAAACAGTACTTCCCAATAAGCATAGTGTAAGGCTGGCTGTTGCCTTTGGTCTGATATCATCTGAGGCTGGGACCCCTGTTCTTGTCAAGAAGAATGTGCGTGTATGCAACCACTGCCATCATGCTCTGAAGTTGATATCAAAATATTCGGGACGGAAGATTGTAGTTGGTGACACAAAGATATACCACATATTTTCAGATGGCTCTTGTTGCTGTGGCGACTACTGGTGAACAGTTAAGATTGATGATGGAATCCCTGAACTCAATGAGATTCTGCTAGAGCAGGACACCTGGATGCAGAGTGTTCTGATAGCACCCGGGCTTTCACAAAACTGACACAAGGCACGATTGCAGGCTACTACAACATGTATTCAGTTGAGGACACATACTGGAGAGACCCATTCCCAGGTACTCTAGCAGATGCTCCAGGAAGGAACTTCTGTTTCTTGTTTTCAGACAATTTTGGGGGAATTCTTAACCCATAACTGATTACACACGTTGGACAAGAACCAAGCACCACTTTTTGTAGCAATTGAAAGTAGGACGATGTACAAAGTTGTTTTTTCCCCTTTATATACAAAGTAAAAATGCTGAGCTGATTGTATTCATTGTACGGCACTCGACACATCATTTACGGATCAAATGCTAGAAACCGAAGTGTTTCTCTCTCTCAGATTCTTGTAAAGTGAAAATCAAACATACATAGTAGTATTGCTTAAGATAGCCTGATCCTTGAAACCATTTGCATATTGAGAATTAGAGATCGTCGCTTACAACAAGATTAAGCAAATGCTAACACAGCCACACAGGACGCGTAGGTTTGGAATGTCCAGCTCCAAATCTACGCCCCGCCACGGCGCTTGGCCTCCTCGGCCTCGATCGCGCGGCGTGAGGCGTCGGCGAGGCGGTCGAGCGCCTGCTGCACGGAGTCGCGGCCGCCGATGAGGAGGCGCGCCACCACCTCCGGGTCGCCCTCCCCGCGGGCCTCCTCGAACTCGCGCCTGGCGTTGGCCCGCAGCACCTCCCGCCACGGCACGCCGCGGTCGTCGGGCCACGCGAAGAGCCGCGCCGCCCGGAGGATGTCCCGGTACAGGGCCAGCGCCTCCCGCCTGGAGCTCGCCAGCCTCCGCCGCGCCTCCACCGACTCCTCGTCCGGGCCCGCGGCGGGCTTCTTCACGAGGTGCCGGTCCAGCAGCTCCTCGATGGTGTCCGGCCCCTCGTGGATGCACCGCGCGCCCGCCGGCGGCCAAGGCCTCGGCGCCGAGAGGGCCCGCAGGAGGAGCGCGGTGCCGCGCCCGCCGCGTCCGGCTACGGCCATAGCCCTCCGCTCCCGGCCTCTCTGTTTGGGTCGAGCCCGAATCCGATCTGGGACGGGCTAGGGCGGTTCCGCGGGTGGGTGTGGGTCAGTTAGCGGCGGAACGGTCTGGGCTCGTGGCTGTCGTTGACGTCATCTACCGTAAGCAACGTAGCGCACACCCAGGTAGGAAAATAAGGAAAAATCGACCGCGAAACGGATACCGACTCCGACTCCACGTAGAATTGCCGGCTTTACGGGGGTGTTTGCGACTGCTCCACAAACTCTGCTCCACAAATTCCACCGTGGAGCAGCTCCATAAAAAATTGGAGTTTGTGGAGTACCTCTTTAGGTGCTCTCACAACTCCACCCTTTTTCCTGGAGCAGAGTGCGTGGAGCTGAAACCGTTTGGCTAAAAAACGTGGAGCGGAGCTGAAAAACGTGGAGCGGAGCAGTCCCAAACACGCCCTATAACTGCGGATGGCCGCTGCGGCAGCTACCCATCTGCAGCCTCCTCTTCCATCCGAGAGAGCATGGACGGCGGCGCCATGTCCCTTTCTTTGCGGCTGCCATGAATCGCCGGTGCGGTACCGCGGCGTGGTGTACGTGGGCAACATCCCATTCCGCGCGCCCGAGAAGGAGGTCCACGACGCTGCGCTTGGCCGATCGCCCCGTCCGTTCCCGCGCCGCGCGCCGCCGCCGACCCGGCACGGAAGGAAGCTTGTGCAGGTCTACGCTTCGTGGAGTACTCGACGACGAGACGGCGCGCAGCTGCTGCGTTGCAAGACCTGCGACCGGGTTACGCTGCTGCGCGCGGCCGCGAAGCTCGCGTCGGCCTAGCCTAGCGGGCGGGCAGCCGCCGCGGCGGCTCCAAGCTCGGGAGAAAGCACGAGCCCGCCGTCGGCTGGAGGACGCCGCCCACGCCCGCGTCCGCTCGTCGCCGGGCGCCACCGCCCGACTCCGTGATGCGGTTCTCGGCGGCTTGGCCGGCGGCGCTGGAGCCGCGGAGATTGTGGGCTTCTTGGAGGACACGCCCCGACGCTCGAGGTCGCTCAGAGCGAGTCCGGCCGGCCGCCGCCGTGGAGCTGGCGCCACACCGATCGACATGGGCGGCGGACGACGCCATGTGAGGCGGCCAGAACAAGAAGTGGGCCGGCGTGGAGGGGTCCGGCTCGACGACGGCGATCACGGCGCCAAGCTCGGAAGGTGGATCTGGAAGAAAGCGGCGGTTTCAAGGACAACGTCGCGGCTTCTGCCGCCGGGGTCATGTGCTTCTTGTTAGATTGATCTCCTAACCAATAAGCCCAACGGCCTATTGGGCCTTGGTCACGCGCCCTGATCGGAGGCGCCCAACCCTACATGGTTGGTGGGCCCCCATCGCACTGCGCTATATAAAGAGGAGGGGGGGCGGCTCAAAGCACGAGGTTCGCCGTGAGCCACAAACCCCACCGACAAACCCTAATTCCGATCTCGAAGAGAGTGCGCGACCCGCCAATGACGGAAGCCGCCACCGTCATCACCGTCATCCCGTCGCCATCGTGCCCGCATCACCGTCTCCTCCATCGCGCGCCTCTCTTCACCGACGTCGTCGCCGCCGGTGAGCAGACTTCACCGACGAAGGCGATGGAGGCCTCTGGATCCACTCCTCCGGGATCTCAGTTCGACACTTTCTCCTTCCTCTAGATAGCATTCTAGGTCTACATCGTTGCTGTTGTCTACCGCTCTTGATGTCTACCCTCTAGACCGACTGCTAGATGATTCAAGGATTATAACAATGGTACCAGAGCCTATTAGCACGTAGATCTAGAACGGGTACCGATTAGAAAAGGAAAGATGAAGAGATCCAGTGTGGATCTAGAAAGAAGAAAGGGCTTCGGCCAACAAAGGGTTCGATTGAACCCTAAACTCGATCCCTTCGGATCTGAGAAACGATGATGGTTCGGGAAAAGAAAAGAACCGCACATCCAAACCCTATATCGGGTTTTGGGATAGAGAAGAAAACTTGAAACCGAATTAAACCCGAAGGTGATTCGGGGAAAAGAAAAACAGTGTCGTGTCTAACCCTAACCCTAACCCTAATCGGAAAAATCGTTCAAAAATCCGAATCAAAGAAACCGAAAGGGGAAAGAAGGGGAAGAGGGTGGCTCGGCTCACCTCGCCGTCGAGCACACACTGCCGCAGTGAAAAAAGAGAGGCCGGCCGGTAAGGGCACGGCTCATGGGATCCGACCATGGGGCGCCATGGCAGCATGCCGCTGACGGCGGCGCGCGGCCACCCGGCGGGAGCGCAAGACAGCGGCGAGGGGGGCAACGACGGCGCGGACCTCGCCGCTTCACCGTGGTCGCTCGGTGATGAACCCGAGAGAGAAGAGGAGAGCGGTGAGGCGAAGAGAGAGTGTGCGCGTGAAAATGAAGCTAGGGCTGAGGGAGGCGCTGGTCGGTCGGGGTTTTGATGCCCCAGAAGCGCAGCTCCACCGTCGATCTGAGATCAACGGCCAGAGGGCTCGGGCCTCTTTGGCCCAAAGCGGCGGCCGCCGCCGCGGCCGAAATCAGCCCAGCCAGTTGCGTGCCTGGGGCTGGGGGAGAGAGCCACGCATTGGCATGCATGGCATTTGGGCCAGAGAGAGCTCGCGTCTTGGCCGAAAGAAAGGTGGGCGTATTTGTGGTCTGACGTCATTGGGCAGCGATGTCTTTATTTGGGCGAAATGGCCAAATAAAATAATCTGATCCACAGCTTTTTTGTTTTTCTTATTTTCCATAAAACAGTTTGATCAATTTGAATTGAATTTTTATAATAATTTTCTGTACAAAATTTATCCAACGATATTTTTTGTTCAGTAAATAGTAAATTTGCTTCTGGAAAATAGGAAAAAGATTATTAAATGTTAAAGTTTCCGCTGCGTATTTAAAGATGTAATTTTCATTATTAAATTCGAACCAACGGGAGAATTTATTTTTGAAAATGAATATGTTTTAAATTGATTATAATATTGTTGTTATTCTGACCAACGTTGATTAATGGCAATATTATAATGTTTTTGTCATACATTAATTCTATTTCTGCCCAACGGTGATGTAGAATTAGTGTAGAAAATAATTGTATGTTTTAATTTTGACCAACGTTAAATTAAGGCATGCAATTATTGTTGTTATTTCTGTTCTCACACTATTTGAATTATGTTTTCAGGAGGATACAACTTAATGAGTTGTATCAAAGAGATCCCCACTCTAAAAGGTGATAACTATAATGAGTGGAAGAAAAAGATAGAGACTGGCCTTCATCCTCATTTGAGGTGGATGGGTTGTCACACACGCGTGCCCAGAGAGAACTGTGGCACCGGTGAGGGAGACCTGATGAGGACCGATGTTGCATGGCGAGAATAGAGAGCGGGATTTTCCTCCCGTAAAGATGTCCTATGACCTTGAGCATAGAAATGGGTCCTTGCTAACAAGAAGTGTTTGGCGGTGATAAAGAACACAATTGAGCTCTGCTATTGTGGGCTCAATTCTGCATCGTGACACGGTCACAGTAGTACCTAGATAGAATAAAGAGTCGGTTCATTGGCTCTTCAAAATTTATATGCAACCCGGTGATCAAGCATTTGGTTCTGAAAAAAAAGGTACTGTGGCGGCGGTGGCATTAGAGAGCACATATTGAGAATGAGCAATCGGCATCTAAGCTCAAACCAATGGATTTGGCACTCAAGGATGAGTTTCTTATTCATTTGATTTTTGCTTCTTTGCCCAAAGAATTTGACACCTTTGTTGTTAATTACAACATACAAATTTGAAAAATGGGATTTAGAAAAGCTCATAGCCATGTGTGTGCGAGGAGGAGGAAAGAATAAAAGTTTCACAAGGTGGTTCATCAACTACCTAAAAGATAAGAAAAAGAACTATTATAATGACTCTTCCTCCAAGTCATCCGAAAAGGTCCC